GTTGGGATCCCTGCTCCATGGCTCCTCCACGTGGCAGGTGCCTGTCTCCCCTGTTAGCGGGGAAATGATACCGGGCTTGGGCGCTGGGCCTCAGAAGTGGGGACACAGTGAAGGGCGGCCTTCAGAACTGAGTTCTCCGCGCATCCTGGCTCTTTCCTGGGTTCCTCACTGACTTGTCACATCCACCCCAGGGAGCCACAAGGCCTTTCGGAGGTTCCTGATTCCAGCACACAGGATCCTGGGAGAGGGGGTGGGGCCGGTGTAGATCAAATTTAAATAAGCAATTGTTTGTTTTGTTTTACTTTTTAAAAAAATATACATATATTATTGATTTTTTACAGAGAGAGAGAGAAACATTGACGAGAGAGAAACATTGATCAGCTGCCTATCTGCACACCTACTGGGGTTGTGCCCACAGTCAAGGTACATGCCCTTGACCAGAATTGAACCTGGGACCCTTGAGTCCACAGGCCGACACTATCCACTGAGCCAAACCGGTCAGGGCATGAGCAATTCTTTTTTTTTTTTTTTTCTTTTTTTTAAAATATATTTTATTGATTTTTTTACAGTTAGGAAAGGAGAGGGATAGAGAGTTAGAAACATCAATCAGAGAGAAACATTGATCAGCCGCTTCCTGCACACTCCCAACTGGGGATGTGCCCGCAACCAAGGTACATGCCCCCAATTGGGAATCGAACCCGGGACCCTTCAGTCTGCAAGCCGATGCTCTATGCACTGAGCCAAACCGGTTTCAGCATGAGCAATTGTTTTATAGGCTCAAAGCAAAGGCTTTATGAAGGGACTAGAGGCGTGGTGCATGACATTTGTGCACTGGGGTGGAAGGGTCCCTCAGCCAGGCCTGCACCCTCTCACAGAGGACTTCTTGCTTCTTACCGCCCACCTGCAGCGCAGGTGGAAGAGGCTCCCGCCGGCCGCCACCGCTGGGCTTAGCAGTCGTGAGCCTGAGCCAGCTTCTGGGTTGAGCATCTGCCCCCTGGTGGTCCACGCATGTCAGTGGTTCCACCATTGGGTGGTTTTGCATGTTCGGGTTTTATTATATAGGATTCTAGATCCGCCGTGTCTGAGAAGGGACCTGAGGTCCTGCTTCCTGGGAAAGCAGAGGCCTCGGCTCTGTGTCAGGTACAGGCCTGGCTGAGATCCTTCAGGCGAGAGTAGGTCATTCCATTCTCTAATGTAATTTCTACTGGCAAGCTTCCTGAAAAGCCATGATTTCATTTTTTATTTATTTTTAAAATATATTTTATTGATTTTTTTATAGAGAGGAAGAGAGTGGGATAGAGAGTTAGAAACATCGATGAGAGAGAATCATCGATCAGCTGCCTCTTGTACACCCCCAACCGGGGAGGTGCCTGCAACCACAGTACATGCCCTTGACCGGAATTGAACCTGGGACCTTTCAGTGCATAGGCCGACGCTCTATCCACTGAGCCAAACCGGCTAGGGCTGAAAAGCCATGATTTAAGAGAACAAGGTCAAAGTTCTCAGCACCAGGTCCCCGATGTTAATAAAAAGAGTAAAACCAGGGCCTCCAGCAAGGGGCTGCGATAAGGGGGTGTGGTATGTAGAATGATGCCCCCACAAAGGGGCCAGTTCTCAGGCCTCTGAATGTGTGATCTTGCATGGAAAGGGTTCCTTGGTAGATGTGGTGAAGGCTTTTGAGAATGCAATTATGGCAGAGACTGCCGTTAACGCTATTTTATTTTTAATTTTTAATTTTATTTATTTTATTTTATTTTTTTTAATCCTCATCTGAGGATGTGTTTTCATGGACTTTTTTTTAAATATATATTTTATTGATTTTGTACAGAGAGGAAGGGAGAGAGATAGAGAGTTAGAAACATCGATCAGCTGCCTCTTGCACACCCCCTACTGGGGATGTGCCCGCAACCAACGTACATGCCCTTGACCGGAATCGAACCTGGGACCTTTCAGTCCCCAAGCCGACGCTCTATCCATTGAGCCAAACCGGTTTTGGCTTCATGGACTTTTTTGAGAGATGGGGAGAGAAAGAGAAGCATCAATGTGAGAGACACAAACATTGGTTTCCTCCTTCCCACACGCACCCTGGCGGGGCAATCTAACCTGCAACCCTGGCAATGTGCCCTTGACTGGGAATCAAGCCTGAGATCCTTTGGTGTGTGGGCTGGTGCTGTAACCACTGAGCAACACCGGCTGGGGCTTGTTGGCATTTATCACATACCCAGGGTGTCTCAAACAGCACTATCGACGTTTTAGGCTGGATACTTTGTTGTTTGCAGGGTGGAAGGGACACAGCTGTCTGTCTAGTGCATTGTGGGGTGGTTAGCAGCAACCTTGGTCTCTGCCTATTAAGATGCCAGTTGACCCCACACACTCCAAGTGGGGACAAGCAAAAATGTCTCTAGACATTGGCAAATGTCCCTGGGGGCAAAACCACCCCTGGGTGAGAACCACTGTGCTGGTTCAAGTCATCTTACTGGCTGTCTTACTTTGCCTCTTAGAGAGCGTAACCCAAAGGCAGGAGCGAGGTCTTGTGCAGTGGTGCAGTGGTTGGCAAACTCATCAGTCCGCAGAGCCAAATAGCCACAGTACAAGATTGAAATTTCTTTGAAGAGCCAAATTTTTTAAACTTAAACTTCTTTTAATGCCACTGCTTCAAAATAGACTCGCCCAGGCCGTGGTATTTTGTGGAAGAGCCACACTCAAGGGGCCAAAGAGCCGCATGTGGCTCTCGTGCTGCAGTTTGCTGACCGCAGGTTGAGTGCATTGATAAGTTTGGATGGGGAACTTGTTGGTGCTGTTACCACCTAAAGTGGGGAGCCTGGGGGCGCAGACATGGACAGAGCCAGAGAATCAAGGATGTGACTATCTGATTGGATACCTGCTGGGGAGGTCAAGGGGCGGCTGGGTGCCCAGGGAGGAGGTCCCAGCTGGAGATGCGGTGGACAGTGTACGGAAGGAATGAGGAGCCAGACTTCAATCACTCCGGCTTTTCACTGTTGCTCTTACAACCCATCCCGCATGTTCTCATTTCTTAGCCCAAGTAGCCCTTAACGTGGGCTTTAATTTGAATTAAATGGTGAAGATCGTTTGGGGAAAGTGTCATCATCTACCACACACTTCTAGTGGATCCTGCCTGCCCCCAAGCCAGCCCATCTCCCTTTGGCTCCATCACCTCCCTGCTGCACCCCCAGACCCGCGTTAGAGGTTGAGTGACAGCAGCCTCCAGACCCCCAGAGCCAATAGCCTTGTGAAAGAAAAAAGCCACATGCTAACCTGACAAGCTCAGGGAAGGCCTGCATGGCAGTCTTGCAAACCCAGAGACCTAAGATAACCACAAAAGATGGTTTGAAAATTAAATATCTAACAGGTTATAGTAGGTAGTCATGTCCCAGATATTCTCCCAGACAAAGATCAACTTTGATCTTTTTACTGAGCCCATTTGCCTTTTTGCCTCTTAAGATAACATATCTGTGAGATGTCTGGGTAACTTGTAACTTCCCTTTTTCCGGAGCCCCTGGGGAACAACCAAATGTGGTGGGCGTCAGGACAGATGCCTCAAATTCCTTCTTTATCATGTGAATTGTTCCTGCACTCACAGTACACGTCCATCATTTTACTTTTTATCCAATCCCAGGACTTTCCCACCGCTTTGCTTTCTCCCGCCTCCTTACTCCATCAGCAATGAATTTCATGTAACCCACCTGCCCCTCCTTTGATTTCAGTGTATAGAGAAATGTAACCCGCCATTCTTTAGACTCTAAAGTTTAGAGCATTATCTCAATCCCTTGAGGTTCTGCTTCCCGGCAATTGTCGACAGTAAGGCTCAAATAAACTCTTTAAAAAGTTAACAGCCTGGTCTACTGGCTACCCGCCCTGGGACCGACAACTGCCCCTCCTCCCCTGCAATGGGTAATGCAATCACCGTTTCCTTGTTGAGGTAATGCACGCACTGGGAGCAGTTTGTAGCTAAAGCTCAATACACCTGCTCAGTCGTTGGGTCTGTTCTGACCTGTTACTGACACACCCTTCACCAGGTGCCCCTGTGGGTTCTGGTTCTGTCACCTCTGCGGGTCTGCCCACCTGTTGCAGGGCCTTTCTGGGCTCCCCGTTTAAATCTGGTGCATCGCTCACTACCCCCAGGATCCTGGCGGGTATTTGACCCATTTCAGGAACAACCCTCTCATCATTAACTCAAATTTGTATGGCTGCCACTTCAACAAAAATGCATTCCCTTGCTTTTATACAAAAGCATAGTTGGCCCTTCATTATTTGCAGGTCCCATATGTGGACTCAAATCAACCGCAGATGGATCTAACAGCAGCCTTTTCACTTGTGCCACGAACTCCAAGGAGTGGGTACCACCACCTGAGGCCCGTCCACCGGTTTCCAAGTGCACTTGTCTGGGTGAAGTAGGCTGAACCCAGATTTTATGCGCCTTGAGCACCCTTGAATATTGGTGCCCATGAGGGCGTGGAGAACTGTAACTGCTCTAAAAGGCTCAGAATTAGACCTGACCACACGTATACCCCTACCTCCCACCCATGCTGCGTGCCACCACCCAAAATCAAAGCCAGCTTGCCCGGGATAAGATTTGAAAACATTGGGTATATGTGGACACAGGCAACCCATGTGGAGGAGACTAACTTCTCAAGTAGCCATTTGCACATGCTCAGATATAATGCATATGGAGATCAAGATGGATGCCAACTACATTCACCTGAGCACCCCTCACACATGCCCTAGAACACGTGTCAAACACAAGGCCCGCGGGCCAAATCCGTCCCGCCAGGCCTTGCAATGTGGCCCGTACCGCGCTGTCATCACTGCACTCCGCTGCGTTTCCATCACAATGACAGTTTATGACTGTTCAGTAAACCATTCGGCCTGCGATTTAGGCTGGATTTTAGATTTTGGCCCCTTCTCTGAGTTCGACACCCCCACCCTAGAAGTTTAATCTATTTACGCAAACTAGATCCATTCAAACACATCAACCAGGGTGAAGGATAAAAAAAAGAACTTTTATTTTTAAAGACGGAAATTTGAAAATTTAAACAGCCAGGTTTACAGGCAATTGCTTGAAAATTCTTTTGTCTTCAGAGTTGGTTTCCTGTAGGGAAAAAAAGGTGAGTTATTTTATTGGATGGGAAATATGCACTGTGAGCTTATGAAGGGCCAACCCAATCACACCTCTAGGCTTCTGTATGTCAGTAACTTTGGTTACACACTAGAAAGTGGGCAGATACTTGCCATTGTACATGCTTCGTTCTTTCTTTAGACCTGAAAAAAACAAAACCAAACCATAATTTTCTCAACAAGTAATTTACTTCCCTCTTTCCCACGGTTAGAAATCCTTGTGATCCCTCAGACAGTTCCTTCTGGAACACACTTTTCTCTTCTCCCCCAGCTTGTCCCAGTGGGTTCACCTTCACAGGCTCTGGGACAGGGACAGGGGGTAAGACGTGTGAATGTTTCCTCACTGGGAAATGGCGGCCAGCCTGCACATCCCCTCTGCATTACTCACCTCTAACTTCGGGCTGAAGTTGAGCAGAAACAGCCTCCACTTCCCCTGCAAAAGAGCGATTGGGAACTAAGCCAACCAGCCCTAGGAGCCCCTGCATAGGCTTTAAAACGTGCCCTTTACAGGAGGCAGTCGTAAGCCTGTCCTGTTGGCTACACCGCCTACTCAGCTTCCCCAGGCCACTCACTCCGAGGCAAGCTCAGAGCTCAGAAATACCTTTCAGTCACAGTGATCAGACTGGGGCGGTATTAAACTCATCACTGGTGAGTGATCCCAAGTGCCACATCTCATAGCAGCCACAGACTGAGTCACAGACTTACCTCACCTCATTCTTGGGTCCCACAAAGGTGCTGGACCTGAAAGAAACAAGACAGTCAGCATGCACTTCCTGCACTAAAAGCTGGTCCCGCCTCAGCCAGTTCCTAGAAAATCAGATTTCCGAGTCTCAACAGCAAGTCATCAGCCGAACGAGATTCCATGTCAGTCATCATATATGTAGGCCTGAAGGCCACTTTCTACCTGGCATGTGCATGCGCCAACACACGTGGAAATCACTCACCTTGGAGTGGACCACCAAGCAGGTAGGACTAACAGGACCTGGAAGACAAGGCTGTGGTCGATAAAAATTCCAGCTGGGTATCCCGCCGCCGCCACCACGTTCCCCAGTTTCTCAGGTGTTCACATGTGTTCATTCTGAGTCATAGTGAGCTAGTTTGCTTCATCACAGAAACTGACTACTTGGTGACATGAGCCTGACAATGAACTAACCTGTTAGCTCTGGAGGTTCCCGTAGCACACAGGACCCAGCTGCTCCTAAAGGAGATCCCCTGAAACAGCCAAAGTGGTTCTAGTTATGGTTAGTGGGCAGATCAGGAATAACTAAGCAAATGCTGTCTGCTTGTACCTCAGACAGTTCCTACGGAACAAGTTCTCATCCTCTCTCCCAGTTAGCCCCAGTGGGTTCACCATTGCTGGCTCTGGGGCTGGTACTGGGGTTAAGACAGGATGTTTGCTCTCCTCACTGGCACTGGACTATGGAGCACGTTATAAAAATTACACACACTCACCACTTCCACTCTTTCCACGAGTTCAACCCTGGGCAGGTCAATGGTGACCTAGAGGGCAAGACGCCAAGAAACATCACTACAAGAAATGAGGCACCAGAAAGCTAAATGGGTCAATTAGGGCTCTGGTGACAAAAAGCCACATGTCCCCAAGTTATTCTTTGGTAATGGGTTCACATATGTTTACCCCAGTAGTATTGGGAGAAGCTATTTACCGTTTAGACAGATGAATAGGTCATTATCAGGACAACCTGTAAATGAAGAGCAGATTATTATCTAGAAATATTGGAACTGAGTAGCATTTCATTATTGAACAGAAACTGCCATCAGAACTCTAACATGCTATTACCTGTCACACCTCACAGAGCATCAGAGGAACAATTCAAATCATCTGACAGTGACATGTGGGTGAGGGGGGGAAACCACACCCTCAAGAACCAGATGTACTACTGGGCTGTTCTCTCCCGCCCCAGCACACCATTCCAAGAGGAGCAAGCCGGAAGGACCATTTGCTCTCCTGGCTGTGGGGAGGGCTGGAGAGAGAACACCTCAATCCCGCATTTCAACAATTACCTGTAGTCACCCCGGGAGGCGGTGGAGTCCCTCAGGACGGATGAGCTGCTGGGGACAGAAAAAGGAGGCATTACATACGCCCAGTAACAGCCACCCCAAGACCCGTGAACACTCCTGGCCAACTTCTCAGGACTCGGATGACATCACTTTTAAGTTCAGCCATATGCTTGTCGTTGAATGTTCATCACGGAGTGGCCAGCCCATCTGGACACCCATCTACACACCGCGCCCCTACCCGTAGCTGCTTACCCACTGGGTACCCACCGGAGCATTGCTGCATGGACCGGTCCGCACGAGAACAGATCCTGTCCCATCCTCCAACCTGTACGCTCCCTGGGACGGAGCCATACCTGGAAAAAAGGCAAGAGCATCCTTCACTTAAGCTTCATACTTTGCAGCCTTGTGTTCGTGCCTCAACACTTAAGAGCTAGATTGACCCAAGCATGAAGAAACAACCCATCTGTTGCTTGCTGATGGTGCTACTCAGAATGTATGGTTCTCCACCAACCCATCAGAAAGAGAGAGTTCGGTTTTTATCATCCCCGTAGCACATCGCATAAGCCTTCCATGCATTCAACGGAGGAATGGCCGTGAGCACTTACCCTAACGGCAGGCATGTCCCGGGCCCCCGAGCGTCCAGACGCGCGCCTGCGCCCTGCGGACAAAGAGAACATGAGGTCGGCATTCAACATCGCCCCAACGCTTTGTCTCCCGGAACGACGACTGCACCGGCTGTGCAAGGCCCGTCTCAGAGGTTCTTATCCTCACGGCACTCAGTACAGGTCTGTGAAAGGCTCTCATCACGGAGAAGGCCGCCGGCACCGCGCGCCATCGCCATTTTGTCCTTCACAAAGCCAGGCGGTAGCTTGGAAGCCTGGAGGCCATGGCCAAGTCACCCCATTTCTTCCCTCCCCCACCCCCCCCAAACAGGCGTAACACAGACGACTACCTAAGGCACGCCACGCTCACGCGGCCGTGCTTTTCCGAAGCAGGAAGAACACTCACCCAGAGCAGCAAAGAAGAAACGAGACCTACAAGCCGCAGGGAGGCACTTAAATACCCTCTCGCGGAGGCCCACGGGACTGGAGGGCGGGGCTGTGGCCGGCGCACGCGCACGGGGAGAGCTCGTGCGAGCCTGGGGAGTTGTGGGTAGAGATTTCCAGACAAAGAGGACGGGAGCGCGCGCCCCCGGCGGCGCGAAAAGTTGCGCAGGCGCCTTAGGGCCGCGCGCAGGCACGCCCGGGGCGCTGCGGCGGGGTCTCCTTCGCTGCCCTCCGTGGGGCTGGAGCCGTGAGGCCTGGGGCCGCTTCCCGCGGGTTGTCGCTACGTCCGGGTCAGAGCCGCCCACCCTGAAACCCTCCCCTGAGCTTCCCCTTGCCCGCACACACCCTAAACCCGCGTGCAGGGCCCGCCGCCATGGATCCCGAATCTCCTGACCCCTCGGCCGGGCCTAGTGCGCAGGGTGCCGGCGCCAGAGGCGACTCAGGTACTGAGGCCCGGGCTGGGGGCGCTCAGCTGCAGGGCCGTGCATGGAGCCATTTCGGGAGTGAACCCGGGCGGAGGTGCCCTGCCGTAGTCTAGGACAGAGTCTGGTTTTCCTGGCTGGGACCCTCCCCCCCCCCCCATCCTGCGTCCGGTCCGGTGTTGCAGGATCCTGGCTGTTCGGAGCGCCGTTTTAAGCACCTGCATGCATTGATGAGCCCCCGATCCGCAAATGGTGGGCACACGTACTACCCCTTTCCTAGGCGAGGGGCCCCTGCACCTCCCGCCTGGTGGCCAGGGTTCCCGTCGCCCGGAGGCTGGTTGCTGAGACCCCAGCGTTAGGTCACCGTCGGCGGTGGCGGGTTTTGCAGACGCACCCAGCCCCTGGGGTGAGCTCTGCCGTGCGGCCTCGCTGAGCGCCTCCCCCAGGGAGAGGGTTAGGTGAGGCTGCAGAGGAGGAACCCGAGGCCCAGAGAGGGCAGGTAACCTGCTCGTGTTATCCAGCTAAGCAACAGGAGAGCCAAGGTCCACATCCAGGCCGCCCGATTCCGGACCCTGCCCTCTGACATCCATGCTCCACTGCCGCCGTCACACTGCTCTCAGGGTAGCCGGGGACAGAGCAGATACACAGGAAAGAAACGGAGTGACCTTCGGGTGTGTTTCTCAGTCTTCCCTCATTGTTACCGCCCCACCGGCGCCTTAAAAAGATTTTCCTGCTGAAACCTGTTTGGCTCAGTGGATAGAGCGTCAGCCAGCGGACTGAAAGGTCCCAGGTTCGATTCCCGTGAAGGGCATGTACATTGGTTGTGGGCACATCCCTGGTAGGGGGTGTGCAAGAGGCAGCTGGTCGATGTTACTCTCTCATCGTCGTTTCTAGCTCTCTATCCCTCTCCCTTCTTCTCTGTAAAAAATAAATAAAAGATATTAAAACAAACAAACAAAAAACTGGGAAAGAGCCCTAACCGGTTTGGCTCAGTGGATAGAGCGTTGGTCTGCGAACTGAAGGGTCCCAAGTTTGATTCTGGTCAGGGCATGTACATTGATTTCGGGCACATTTCCAGTGGGGAGTGTGCAGGAGGCAGCTGATGCATGTTTCTCTCATCAATGTTTCTAATGCTCTATCCTTCTCCCTTCTCTATGAAAACAAAAGTAAACAAAAACATTTTTTTTTTAATTTTTAGTCACTTTTTTATTTATTTTATTTTTTTAAATATATTTTATTGATTTTTTTACAGAGAGGAAGGGAGAGAGAGAGTTAGAAATATCAATGAGAGAGTCATCGATCAGCTGCCTCCTGCACGCCCCCTACTGGGGATGTGCCTGCAACCAATGCACATGCCCTTGACCGGAATCGAACCCGGGACCTTTCAGTCCGCAGGCCGACACTCTATCCACTGAGCCAAACCGGTTTCGGCAACAAAAACATTTTTAAAAAAACACACAAAACTGGGAAAGATCTGAGGAAGGCCAGATGAGGAGGGCATGGATTGCAAAGCCAAATCACTGGACTATAGATAGTAAGAAAAACTCCCATAGATTTAAAAAAATATATATTTTATTGATTTTTTTCAGACGAAGGGAGAGGGAGAGAGAGCTTAAAACATCGATGAGAGAGAAACCAGTTTCGGCTCTTTCCCAGTTTTATATTCTACTATTCCCTTCGGCCCACATTTCATGAATTATATCCATACACTTTCTTCCTTTTCCAGCTCATGGAGGGACACACGGGGACCACATTCCCCCAAAGAAGTGAAAATTGGTTTTCGGTAGAGGAAGGAGAGGGCAGGAAAATCTTAGATATTGAGAAGGTTTCTGGCCCTCCAAAAGGTCACAGTACGCAGGCTGCTTCCTGCACACCTCTTACCAGGGATGTGCCCACAACCAATGTACATGCCCTTGACCGGAATCGAACCTGGGACCCTTCATTCCGAAGGCTGACGCTCTATCCACTGAGCCAAACCGGTTTCAGCCCATAGGCGTTTCTGAGCAGGGTGGTGATTACAGATTGAGGAATAAGATGGAGACAAGGGCATTAATAGATTGTCTCAGTAGTTTAGGCTGCAGGGAAGTGGGTTCTGTACTAACAGCAGTGGCAGTGGGAAAGGGAAGGAGAGTATTGAAGTCAGGGTCTCCCTCCAACTCCTACAAAATGTCAGGAGTGCAGATAAGCGATGTGAACTGGGTGGGGCCTCTAGAGAGCCTAGGCGGCCCTTCCTTAGCTCCAGCTGATGGCCTTGCTTGAGTGGTCTCTAAAGAAATATGACCAAGAGGTTCAAGAAATCAAAAATTGTATATTTAAGTGTTGACTTCTAACTTCAGTTTTTTTAAAAAGTGTTTCCTTTTAATATATATATATATATATATATATATATATATATTTGTATTGATTTCAGAAAGGAAGGGAGAGAGAAAGATAGAAACATCAATGATGAGAGAATCATTAATTGGCTGCCTCCTGCACGCCCCCTACTGGGGACCAAGCCACAATCTGGGCATCCTTCAGTCCACAGTCTGACACTCTATCCACTGAGCCAAACTGGCTAGTGCTAATTTCAGTCGTCTGTGGTAAACACCTAAGGTCTGTTTTTTTATTTTAATATATTTTTATTGATTTCAGAGAGAAAGAAAGAGGGGGAGAGAGAAATAGAAACATCCATGATGAGAGAGAAAATCATGGATCGGCTGCCTCCTGCAAGTCCCCCATTGGGGATTGAGCCCACAACCTGGGCATGTGCCCTTGACCAGAATAGAACCTGGGACCTTTCAGTTCCCAGGCTGACGCTCTATCCACTGAGCTAACCAGCTAGGGCAGTGGTCGGCAAACAGTGGCTTGCGAGCCCCATGCGGTTTGCCGCTCTGTTGCCTAATGAGTTTGCCGACCACTGCCTTAGGGGAAAACACTTAAAAAACAATTTAATAATGTACTAATGTCTTTAACCTGAAGTCAAAACTTCTGGGTAAGGGTAATAATGCCTTACAGCAGTGGTCAGCAAACTCATCAGTCAACAGAGCAGCAAACTGCAGCTCGAAAGCAGCAGTTTGCCGACCACTGAGCTAAGGCAAACGTCCATTTTTTTAAAGCATATTCTGTGAGCCAATCAAAATATGCCTGTGAGCCAAAGGTGGTTAGACTGAGTTTGTTTCCTCTTGTGTAGTGACAGAATCCACCAGGAGGGGGGAATGAGAAGGGGGCTGTCAGACATGGGATGCTCTTTCTGTAAGCCATAAAGGGGGTGAAGGGGATAAGTGCCAACAAAAACCAGTGATCTTGGCAGTTGGGGATTATGGGTGACTTTCATTTAACACTTATTCTACTAGGATGGGTTAAGCACCTACTAAGCCAGGAGGTACAACAGGAAATAAAGCAGGCGGTACCTTTAATGCACCTTTGGAGTTCATATTCTGGGTGACAGACACAGGGAAACAAACAAGTGAATAACATGCCAAGCCTGGTCTGTGTGGCTCCGTAGTTGAGCACGGACCCAGGAATCAGGTCATGGTTCGATTCCAGGTTAGGACACATGCCTGGGTTTCCCACTCAGTCCCCAGGAGGGGGCGCGCAGGAGACAGCTGATCAGTCTCATCATTGGTGTTTTTATCTCCCTCTCTCTCAAATCAATAAAAGCACATTTAAAAAAAATTACAACAGCCAACATGACAATAGTGTAAGTGAATCAAAACCACATATACACACACACATATATATATATATATATATATATATATATATATATATTTACACACACACACACACACACACACACGTGTGTGTGTGTGTGTGTGTGTGTGTGTGTGTATATATTTTTTTTTTTGTCAGATCAGCAAAAATATATATTTTTGGGTGTACCGCAGGATTTTAGTAATTAGTGCGCCATGAGATGAAAAAGGTTGAAAATCGCTTGGATGATGCAAGCTGCTTTCAGGCCTTTTTTTCGGCGTCCTGTGCCCCCTCCTGGCAGTAGGAAGCATTGCCAGGATTCAGAGAGAAGCCGGGAAATGCAAATGCGCAGTGCTCTGCTGGGATTAACTCAGTGGAATTAAGCTTCATGAGAGCAGGGACTCATTCCTTCCTACCTCCCAGCTCATAGAACAGTGCCTAGAACATAGTAGGTACCCAGTATTTTGTGCGTGAATGTTTTTCATTGCTAGTGGACATGGCAACTTAAATTTTTTTCCTAGTAGCTTGCTACTAGTGTTCAGAAAAGAATTATTTTTGTATCTTGTCTTGTGTCTAGTATTTTATTGAACTCTTTATCCTAATAATTTGTCTATAGATTCAGTTTTATTTTTCTGTATAGGATTTTATTTGCTGCAAGTAGATAAAAACGTGTTTTGTTTTTAAATATATATATATTTTATTGATTTTGTACAGAGAGGAAGGGAGAGAGATAGTTAGAAACATCGACGAGAGAGAGTCATCGATCAGCTGCCTCTTGCACACCCCCTACTGGGGATATGCCCGCAACCAAGGTACATGCCCTTGACCGGAATCGAACCCGGGTCCCTTCAGTCCCTAAGCCGACGCTCTATTCATTGAGCCAAACCGGTTTCGGCGATAAAAACGTTTAAGTCTCAACATTTCCCCCCAGATCAGATGTTA